CATCTCAATAGCTGCACAGAAAGGCCAATGCACAAATGTGCTACACTCAACATATGAAAGAAGTTTGAAGCCTTTCAAACCACTTATGTTTCCATGAAAAAGCCGTAGGTATCAACAGCAGAAGAAAATCCTAACATGGGAGGAAGGAGCCTGTATCCTACCATGCTAATTTGTATTGGTAGAGAGGAAAGTAAATAGCAATGTTAGCTATGCTGAGGATTTTCAGAAGTTGCATTTATTTTGGGTTTTCTTTCAAAAATAATGTTTTAATGAATATGCAGCATGGGTCTGTGGCACTGGTAGTGTGTCCATCACCATGGTACCTGAGCACTCAAGCAAATGATTAACCAGCAGAGCAAACGAAACAGAAGCACAGAGCCAACAGGCACTGTGACAAGCTCTTCATGGACCTGCCAGTACATCTCTATCTGGACCTTTACTCCTTCAGGCTTCCCACTGTCCTATCTTTAGGATAACCAGATAACCAGATCTTTTTTTCCAAACAGTGCTAAGGGATGCAGAGACTTCAGACTGCTTAGAAGGAAGGGTAAAATTAATAAAAAAGCCCCAAACATGCATGCTTTCATCAGGAAAACTTTGCTTAAGGACACAATAAATAAAAAAATAATTATCATTTGCACAAACTAAACCCAATTATGAATTGACAAAATTTGTTATGCCTACCATGACATCAGCCTGGCCACTTTAAAATCACTTTTCTAAAGAGGGAAAACAAGCCTTTTCCTCACTTAGGGCCAAACTGACCTTTCAGGAGACTGATGCAGACCATACATGAACACTACTGTCAGCATTATCTAATAATAATGAAAAGAATATACACTTCAAATAAGTAGCAAGTTAACAACAACTCTGATGTTGATGTTTGTTTAACATATGTGCACATAACTAAACTACTTCAAGCTTTTTCTGACTTGGGACGCTTAAGCAAAGACCTCTGGGGTTTTAGAAAACTATTGAACTAAACTGCTATTGAACATCTACCCTTTGCTGTTTTGTTTTCTGTACAAAATCACTGAGGAGCACAGGAAAGCAGAGGACATTGCATGAAGGCCGAATTTAGAAAGGCTAGATCGTTTCAGTATTGGGGAATTATGCAGCTCTAATACAAACCTCACTGAAGAAGTTTCCTGTTTTCCATCACTAGCCAGACAATAATACTGCAGTCTAATTAAATTACTATCATGCAGAGTTTTTCCTCTTTACTGTAGCTGCTTCAGACTTACGAAGTAGTTACATCCTCTTCATTTCAATTTATCCTTTAAAAGAGGAATAAGTTTTGGGGGCAATGACACAGTACCAGCAATGAAGACTCAAGTTCTCTTTTCCCAGTGTAGATAAAATATGTTATACTACCACTGTGCCTCAGCAACAGTTTTGAAGCAGCTACAGAGCAACGTACCACCCACCTATATTCAATTATGAAACTCTGGATTGAAGTTCACTCTAAGCATCAGTCTGATTCTGTCACCTCTCTTGTGTCAAAATTATATCCATCACTGTCATCTCCAAAGATTCAGATCACACACTTTATCAGGCTTTATAATCAAAGCTAATGGAAGACATGTTTGTTTAGCTGTTGTAAATGGCTTTGAAGATCTTGGTCTCAGCAAGGGCAATGAATTAAGGATGTCAGCTGGGCAAACAGTTTAATTTTGAATGAATTTAGTCAAAATTGATTACTGAAAAACTGGTATGAATCTTTCAAGTTCATATTATTTCACATACTTTAGCAGTAAATATTCCACCCCTTCTTGACATCTGATTCACCAAGCATAAAACTCAAAGAGTCAGCAATGAGGCCAGCTTCACAGACATGAGACCAACTCTGGATACTATAAACAAGTGTGAGAAGCTGCTTTTCATTTGCAGCAGGGAGTACAGCCCTCAAATGGTTTAGCCCTCAGCTGACTAAATCTCTTCGTAACAGCATTTCTGCTAAGCAGCCTAAACATGACAGCCAAAGCATTTAAGACAAAACCCAGAAACCAACAACTGCAAAGAACTATTCCATGACATGTCTTTTTGTTGGAAGTACTTGGTTTTTACTCTCTTTTGTCCATTTTCAAATGAATTAAAATAATAACTTAGGGGGAAAGAAAATTATCTTAAAATAGTCATGCTTTTTTTCCTCTCCCAGGTAATTTGGAGTCAGTACGAATCCAAAATAACAGCATGAGTGTTGAAAATTACAGGGTAAGGTTGGAAACCTCTGGAGGCCATGTAGTCCGACCTCACGCTCAAAGCAGTGCCACCTTTGAACAGATCATTCAGAATTAAAAGGAAAAGAAAATAATTTAAAGGAAAAAAAGAAAAAATGAAGACTTCTTGTATCACCTTTTTGTACCAGAAGGTAAAAAAAAGGAAGAAATGTTTTCCTGAAACATATAGCTTTTCTGTGTTGTTCAGAAGTATTACCAGTATGGCAAATATCTACAACTGCTTCCTTTGATTGACCTAGTTCCTTTTCTGTCACGATGCAGGTAACGGTTAGCACAGCATGTGGCAAACTCCAACTCAGTTGCCAGTGCTGCTCTGCCACACTCCAGGCCAGAAAAGGCTGGGAATGCCATGCATTCAGCTCCACTGACAGAGAAAATACTCTCTATCATTCATTAGCAGTCCCCTCTGCGTTAATTAAGGAATAGACCTGACAGCTGCTGCTGAGGGTTCCACCCCATCTTTCTGCTGGGAAAGCAAAGCCTCCAGGGTAGGGGCTGGACTACACAGCAAAGAACAGGGTGGGGGAACCAGGGTGGGAGATCTGAGTGAAACCCAGATGACTCATCAGAAAGTAAAATGTTCCTATTTTGGCAAGAGGCTGAAATAGCAGCCCTGGGTTGTGCTGCAGCACAGCAATAAATGACCCTGAGCACTTGGGACAAACTCCTGTATACTTTGATATTCCTAAAAGCAGGGGCTATTTCACATCTCATTAAGCAAAAAGGTTTACATGACAATTAACATATTAATTAGCAGTGTCTCTTTCACAGGTGGAAATTCAGCTTGAGCTTTCAACACTTTTAGACAACTGTTTTGTGAGTGAAAATGAAAGAGCAATTTTTTATGACTCAAGGTGACAAGGACTCATATCCAGAACTGGCATAGGAGTGTATTTGTCTATGTACTGAAGCACACTGCAACCAGACGATGGCCTTTCCCATAACTTCTATGCAAGGAGGGCCTCCTTGTACATCTGCAGTCTGCCATTCAGAGCCCAGCCCTTAGCGTGGGCAAGGTGCCAGGCCGGCCACTTCATAAGCTGACCATAAAAAGGCTTAACCTACCACTAAGTCACACAGAGGCAAAGCAAAGCCCGGACCTGAACAGGGAGCAGCTCCCATTTCTCAGCCCCAGCTGCTGACCTGTGTGGCCCCCCCTACAAAAATCCCTTTGATTCTATCTATAGAGATATGACCCGTGAGAAAACTCTTCAGTAAACAGTAACAAGCAACCAGGTTAATTTTTCTGAAAATAGAGAATTTTTATTGCCTGAGAGCTTCACATTTTAGAAAAAGAACTAAGAACTAATAATTTCTACCAGAGACCACTTTAAAGAAGAGTTGGTACACAACTACGGGTTTCCTTAAATGGCAGGTACGTTTCTCTCTGAGGTTTTCATTCAATACCATCTTTAATTTCCCTTATCTTTTGAGAGGATGGATTTGCGGGTATACAAGAAGATCTAGAGCACTGGCAATGGAGTGAAATGAAGAAAAACATTGGAGACTGGAACTTGTAGCTGTTAAGATCAGGGGGATTCTGATACTCACTGAGTCCCTTCCCTGTCAGATGGATGTTGCCAACCCATGGAAAATAGTGACATGCTTTATATATGTCATCTTTCATTTCCCTCAGGTACATACTCCAAGGAATCTGTGTTCTAAACAATGTATAAACAAACAATCATCATATTAATCTTTTACATATTTTGGCACTCAAAGCACAGATAAATCACTGTGCTGTAGCCTTACCTACCATTCCACTGACAAAATAAATGCAGGTTCAGGAGGAATACTAGGTAACTTTTCCTTTAATTAGCTTTTCAAAGCTGATGGTATTTTTTTAGAATATGCTTTATTCCTTTTATTTATCAGCTTGCCTTGTTTCAGATGGGTACTGTCTGACTCTGACTGACCTCTAGGTACCCTTGCACTTGCTCTGTGATATCCCCAGAATGTCAATGCTTCAATTCTTCATCTTTCATTTCCCAAACATTTCTTATCGGTCACTTCTGGTACCAGTTGCAGCTGAACTGGAAGTTATCCTCTGATAATCTGTACTGCTTTAATGGTTCCCAGCATCCTGAGGATATTTTCCAAGTGTTATGGTGACACCAGCTGAGATCTTGGCAATAGAAAAGTGTTTCATATGCTTATTTCCTTCCGAACTTAGTCTCTTGGTTTGTTCTGTTTTCCCAACCCTCTGTCAGCTCTCTGATTTCTGTGGCTTAACTCCTTTTGTTATTGCTATATTCTTTGTTATCACTTTTCAGTATCTTTCTAATAATAAAGCCTTTAAAGAATCTGAGGGCATTCCCACCATGCATCCAAAATCCCTTAATAAATTTCTCCAAACCTCCAAGTCACATTTGTCCAAAAGCTTAGCAAAAATCCCCCCTAAAAGGAACAACAATTGTCACATATTCTTTAAATATTTCTCTGTAAAGTAGAGTCTAGGAACTATAGCACATAAGCCCTATAAAATGATAAGCATGTTTCATTATTTCATCAAATATTACACATAAAACAAGTGACCAGTTTTAGCATGTCTCCAAAATAACATATGCTTGGAAACGCTTATCCTTGTAGCATCACTATCTTTTTTTTTTCCCCCAAGATAAAATCAGTCTTGCACCAGCATGCCTGAAAACCCAAAATTCTCATATAATTTCAATCACTCACTCAGTTTGCTCATGACTTTTACACAGCTGACTGAACACCTATTATCTCACCTGAAAGAGAAGCTGTGAGTTTGCTCACCTTAGTCACCTGCCGGATCTTTGAAATGCCTCCTCTTCTGTTCCTTCCAAAGAGTGCCTTCCCGCATCTCTCTGTCCATCCCCGAGTCCACTGAACATGCAGTCATCAATAAGTTCTGGCTAAGTTATCCTACGTAACTCTGAAGAAAAAAGGAGAGACTCGCAGGAGCTGCAGAAGGTCTTCTTTGCTCTCTTAAAATTTTTGTTTTCTTGGTGGTCTGTCACAGTCAGGTCTCCAGTAGTAAACTGAACAACCTATCCTCCTGGCTCTTCTTTTCTTCTTTTTCTTTTCTGTAAACACATAATCAGTGCTTCAAATCCTTTAGGTATCACAAACCGTATTTCTCTATTGCCCTCTACTGACTGCTACCTAACACCGCCCTCCTGGAGAACCGGCAAGCAACAGATACAGTACGCTCTCCTCCACCTCCCTCCCCTCCAATCAATAATGATACACGATGACCAAAAGTCAACACAAATCATTCTATTTTTTTCCTTTGTTACAAAACACTAGGCAGGATTTACAGCTTGTTGACCAGCCGTGGTAGCTACAAAACACTAAACAACAGAAGCAGGAAGCAGTTAGTAACATGGGTCTGCTGATGTGGTTTTTTTGGTGAATAAAAGCCAGGAAAAAGTAGAGACGAATGCATTCTGCTTTGAAATGCCAGTGAATTCACCCCACTGATGCCATAAATACTATACCAGGCAGCTGAGGGCTATCTGGTTTTAAGGCTCTGGTCCTGCCAGCACTGGATGCACAGAAATACGGACTTTTGATGGAAGTTCTGCAGACAGGGGCTCGTAGAGGCCACAATTTCTTGGTCATTTTCCCATTGCCTCTAGTGTTTTATTTGTTTAGCACATTCAGCACCGCATCTAACATGAGAAACATGGTTTCTTTCTCATGAGACAGGTAGTGGGACAGGATGCGTGATATACTGTATACGAATGGCACTGGGAGGTGCTGTTTGCACTGCTTTTCAGACAATGATGATCTATAACCCAAAAAGAAACCAGCAAACTAACATAAAAAAGGGGAATGGCCCAGCCTTGTTGCAGGAGCAGAAGAAAAAAAAAATTATAAGCGTTTCAGACAGGCTGGAGGACAGGAGGAGATTGAGGGGAAAAAAAAAAAAAAAAAAAAAAAAAGGGGTTACTAAAATTCTGCTAAACAGAGAGGCCCACAAAAAAAACCATTCCCCAAACACATACTG